GCATGAACGGCCGCCTCAGTCTGGAACGGAGTAAATTTACTTCGTCCCGAGCCGTCAAATATCTCCTGACAAGCTTTCCCACGAACCACGAATCTGAGATCTACGGCTTACGAGGCGTCACATCAGATGAAATGAGGGGGAAATATTCACAGACTACCCGCTATTGCGGTAGCGCGCAACAGGACCCGTTATCTAGTCACCAGGCGCTTCAGAATTTGAGGACATTATTTGGCCTGTATGTCTTGGGAACGTCGAGAATGATCTTCGCCGTCTGGGTATAGCGCTGAACCAAGACTATACCCTGCCAACAGGAGAGAAAATACGATCATACCAGCATAAATCCCAGGGTCTGCTTCTTTAGTGGCAAACGCCTTGCAGAAATGAATATTACCACGAGCCAGGACGACGATCTTCCACTTTCATATAAGATGGTTCCGTTGCTCCGTAGCCCCCATCATGGAGACGGACTCAACCTTCCTTTTCATCCCTTTAACCGCCATCGCCATTGATGAAGGTGTTCCACTGTCCTTAACGGATTTGCTTAGGGTCTAGTTGCTGGAGAGGCCAGCTGTCCTCAGGGTGCTATTCACAAGCATACAGCAATATGATACTACCAGAGGAGCCTCCGGATGGTGATGTTAACAAAGGCCATATCATCATCATTCTAACTTGGACTGGATTCAGCATATCTCTTCTGCTTGTCATAGCTAGAATATGGACGCGGGTCAAAGTCGTGAGAGCGTTTGGCTGGGACGACGGATTTATTATACTTGCTCTGGTAAATATATTGTCTCGTCGGAGGAGGAGAGTGTGAGTCTCTAACACGGTGTTTCTTTCTATCATCTAGGCTTGCGCTGTGGTCAACGCTGCGATGATTACCACCAGTATAGTCCACGGCACTGGGCGACATCAATTTTATCTCACCAAAGAGGAAGCAATGCAAGCAGATAAATACAATTGGATCTCTCAAGGGTTCCACGTTGCATCTACGAACTGGGCCAAAGTATCTATCATGTTATTCCTCCTGCGCATTATTGGCCATGCAACTCGACAAGCTCCTTACTTCTACGGCGGCATGGTATTTCTGTCCGTCGTCAACTTCGTCTGTATCTTCACCATCTATGGCCAATGCATGCCTGTGGAGTCATTATGGGATCACAGCATCAAAGGAAACTGCTGGAATCCTCGAATCCAGAGAGATTTTGCGTTTTTTACCGGAGGTTAGTCTGGCTCGCATGTCCCGTTTTGAATGTCAGAGCTTTCAAATTGCTAACCGAACTTCATTCTCCACAGCCGTTTCGGCCGCGTCAGATCTTGCACTGGCCATTTATCCCGTGCGGTTGATATCGAAACTGCAAATGCCGCTCCGAGTGAAACTTGGCTTGGCGGCCATCTTTGCACTTGGATTTGTGTAAGTTATACACTGCATCTGGTATCCTTTTTTATTCTTTCCCATTGCCAGTGACGCTTGTTGCTCACCATTGTTGTTCTGCTGTTTAGAGCGGTGGGTGCTTCTGTCGTCAAGACAATATTTCTTTCGCGCCTCTCTGCCCGTGCAGACTACTCGTGGAACACGATAGACCTCGTTTTCTGGCTGTGCATTGAGCAATATCTGATCATGATTGCTGCCTGTATCCCAATGTTGGGTCCACTCGTCAGACTCATCCTCAGAGAGGCCACCTCCCGAGCAACCGGGTCATCAGGGTCAACGTCATGGCCCCGTAGCATGTTACGAAAGCCTGCAACGAAAAGAAAGCCACTTCCATATTGGGCAACTGACATCAGTTTGTATGGGACCAAGGAAGAAGGGACAACGATATATGGAGTGAACCCAAACATGAAGACCCGTTGCTACCCTCTCAATTCCTATCACAGTGGCGTCGAGCAGCAGACAACTACCGAGAGTCAGGAGGCCATTGTCCAGGGTACAGATGGCCAGAGAGACGCCATTGTCAAAGTCAGCGAGGTGCATGTCAAAATCGAAAGTCTAGAGCCGGACCGGAGATCTTCACGCTCGGTGACGTTTGAAAACAGTGCTATTACAACGAATCCTGATGAAA